TCCAGAATTGGACCACGATCACCAGCGAGGAGATGAATCTCGTCAATAATGACGAGACTCACCTGTCGAACGTAGCCTCTCGTCTGCCAACTACGAGAGATACCGTCCCATTTCTCGGGCGTAGTGATGATGACGTCGGCATCCTTGATAGTGCGCGTATCAGGGGTATTGTCACCTAGTTAGGTCAATGAGTATTCCAGAATCAAAAGACGCATGCAACGTACCTGTCAGTTCGACCAGCTTCAGTCCCAGTGGCCTAGCGAGTCTAGCTCCCCAATCTTTGACACGCTCGCGAACCAGAGCCTTCATCGGCGCAATGTACACAACCTTGGATTTTGGCCGCTCTCTGAAAGCCCACCACATCGCCAGCTCTGCCGCAACGGTCTTTCCACTACCAGTGGGAGATCCGAGGAGAACATTGGCGGGTGTGTGGTAGAGGGTGTGGAAAATCTGCGTCTGCATGGGGTTGAAGTACTGGAAGCGCTGGGCGTAAATCTCCTCGAGAGCCGGGTTCTTGAGAGCATTAATTGGAAGCGGTTGTAGGTTGAGGAGATCAGTGTACACGCTCTCAGTGTCTGGGCGAATCAAGTGCTGGAAAGAAACGGGCGTCACCGTCTCAGCGCCAAGCCATCGGTCAGATACTGCCCGCACGTAGATCTGAGTGGGCAAGGGATCCGAAAGAGGGATGGTGAAGTTGAGTTCGTGCTCATCGTGGAGCTTCCTCCTGTTCAGAAGGAAGAACTCGTGATGGTAGATCTCAGAGGTCTCAGAGTTCTCGACCCAGATGTAGTACGACTCGGAAGTCCCGTGAATGTGGTCGTTCCATCGGAAGTCAGGCTCGATAAACAACTTGATCCGAAGAACGTCGCGGTTAAGAGGTGCAATTTCCGCTTCGACGCTGATGGTCGGGAAATTGTTCAATATATGGGCAATCTTCTTGCCCGCATTCTGGTTGTGAACCAGGCTACCAATCTCGGCAGATTCCATGTCTCTCATTGCCTCCACGGTCATGTTGTCCTTGGCATCGAGCTGATTGAAGACCGACTTGGGGAGATCGAACTGGTGTAGAGGGTGTTGGAAGGGCCAGATGCGTTTTTCAATAGACTTGGCGAGGGTGAGTAGAACCAGACACTGATGTCCCCATCTCCTATTCAGAGCAATCATGAACAAGGCTCTGCAAATACGACCCGCCTGCTGAGCAACATAGTTGAGATCATTGCCAAGAGCAAAGTCTTCTGGCTGCGCTCTCGAGATGTATGCCTGCAGCAGGATATTGGTCTTGGCCTGGGGCGTGTCAATGCCGCCATCAACGTCGCAAGGAACGACATCGTTTCTCAGACGCGTGAGCTCTTTTTCTTCAGAGTCTCTGGACTGAATATTGTCAAACTCCCCGCTCATAGCGATCATCTTTAGAATATCGGCCTCAGTAGCCATGGGTCGCATCATGGTGTTGAAGATCTGAACACTCGTGTGCAAGATGTAGTACTGACTGGCAATGCGACCGATATCCTTGCTGCGGAGCTCCTCGGTCACTTCGTTGAAGATGATCATCTGGCTCTGTTGAAGAGTTCGGGCAGCCTGGATAGCTAGCGTGCGACGTCTCTGAACAAGAGTGGGATCATCCCGAATTTCAGCCCATTCGATGCCGTAGCTCATTGGACTTCTTTGCATGCGAACAAAGAGGTACGAGTATCCAATCCACTGAACAGCTTCGGGAATCGACGTCACAGTACCGAGGGAAATCTCAGCATTCAGATTGTCGACGAGCTTGGTGGAAAACTTGGACTCGATCGGTTGCTGCTCTGTGACGGTGGTCAAGTAGTGATGGAGCCTGTCCTGAGTGGTACAAATCAAACCGATACCGGTGTCCTCGAATTGGGGACGACCGGCACGACCAAAGATTTGCAACACGTCAAGAATGCCGAGATCGACAAATTTACCCTCCTGTGCGCTGTACACTTGGGTTCCCTTGATAACGACCGCTGCCGCGGGCAAGTTGACACCCCAGGCGAGAGTCGCCGTACAGCAGAGAACCTTGAGGACACCCTCTCCGAAGAGCCTCTCCATAAGATTTCTGTCGGAGCGTGCCATACCAGCGTGATGAATGCCCAAGCCCTTGGGCACCAATTCTCGCAGGTCTCGTGCCTTGGATTGCTTCATGTCTCGTACGGCGTTCTCGTAATTCGGGTGGTCGGTGGGATCGAATAGATCCACGCAGAAATCTTCTATGGCCTTCTCGTACAGCATCTTGGCCGTCAGGAGAGTATCTCGCCGCGAATGGACAAAGACCATGACTTGGTGGCCTTTCTGAAGCATGTCCCTAACCTTTTCAAAGGCAACGGTGTCCAAGTTCTCTCTGGACGCCTTGGAACCAGCTTTACCCTTCACACCAATGAAGTGCTGCTCCAAAGGCACGGGACGGAATGAAGCGTCAAAGTAGAACATACCGGCGTGCCGGTTGACCTTGAGGAAGTCGGCAACATCCACGTAGTTCGGAAGCGTGGCACTGAGGCCGACGATACGAATCAACGACTGGGTGCTCTCGACTTGACGCTCAGTTCTGGCGACGAGAGATTCCAGAACAGCACCACGCTCATCGTGAAGCATGTGAACCTCATCGATGATCAGGAGACGGACTTTCTGCACCAGCTCGGTATCGCCAGTTCCCTTTCTCGTCACGACGTCCCACTTCTCAGGGGTGGTGACGATGATTTGGGTTTGCACAATTTCGGCCTTGGTCAGGTGCATATCTCCAGTGAATTCACGGCACTTGATGCCTAACCATGCCAGTCGCTTGCCAAGCTTTTCGGTGATTTCCGCAGCCAAAGCCTTCATAGGCGCAACGTAGACGATCTTGAAGTCCTGGAGATCGACTGCGAAGTCTGTGGCAGTGATGTCTTCAATGGGGTTGGGCGTGCAATAGTGACCAATGGTTTGGAGGATTGTGAGCATCGCAGCATCCGTTTTACCCTGTTTCCGGTCAGTAACCTGAGCATAACACGACATACTTGGGGCGACTTACAGCACCAGTAGGGGCACAGATGAGCATATTCTCGTTTGTCTTGTATGCGACTGGGTGGACCAGACTCTGCATTCGGTTGAGTGCTTTGTATCCCTTGAAGGTGCCGCGACACAGGCCGTCCATGTCTGAAATCTTGACCAATCTCTGGCCGGGACCCAGAACCCCCTTCTTCCCTGCAGGAATGGCATACTCCTCATACTTGTCGAATAGTAGCCTTTCACTGCCGCTTGGAAGGCCGTACTTCTGGCCTGAGTGGCTGAGGGAGTTTCCGGCGTTGTATGACTTGTACACGTGGGGGTACTGGACTTCTCTGGTCATGGCGGGCGCGAGAGTCGCATTCTTGTGCTCAAAGTCCTGTCGCCTCAAGGCCTCCTCACGCTGTGCCTTGCTCAAGAGTTTTCCCTTGGGCTCCTGGGAACCTTGAGAGGTGACGGCCGTGACAATCTCGTTGCGGTGGCCGAGCAGTTCGATAATAAAGTCAAAGTCGTCGAAGCCGACGAGATCGGCGAGCTGGGACTGGAGCTCTTCATCGCCTTGGCCGGATATAAGGATGCTGATGATCTGGTTCTGGAAGACGTCTTCGGCCAACCCATTTTTGGCGGCGATGGATGAGCACTTGCTCACGAACCAGGCGGCGCCGTAAGCAGCGTCGCCGTTGGTGGCGTCGTGACCGTCTAACTGGTCGCTGCTGTACTCATCATCTTCGTCGTCTGAGATGAAGTCCCAGACGTCCTGTGCGCCGTTGCCTGAGGAGTAGCCTTCGTATTCATCGTCGAAATCTACATCCGAGGGGGGTTCTGAGGGGAGTTTAAGACCAGCCAAAGCCGTTTTCATGGCCTCGAACTGGGCTCGCCACTGGGCCTCTGCGTTGTCGAGATTTGCAGACGCCATTATTGGGCAGTTGAAGGGATGTTGTCTTCAGAGCTCTCAAATCTACTTTTTGTTGAATGAGAAAGAGGGACAGAGGGTGGTTGGGAATGATGCAACTTCTCCCCGGTCCTCATATAGAACACCAGTGAGGTCGAAAATGTCTATGATGACTAGCGGTGGTAAGTAAGCCGGGCCCGGTGTTGGAGGAGTCATTCACCGAGTCGCCGCCCGCCGTGGTGCATAGTGGGGCGGCCTGGAAGGGGGAAAGGTGACGGGAAGTACCTGCAGCCGCCAACTCCCCGCCGGATCAACTCTGACCTTCATTGTCGGCCAACGTGGCACTCAAGTTAGCATAAGGTAAGGTAGTTCCGTCGATTTGCTCCTGCACCCAATGACGTCCGTGGTTGGTGGGGGTTCTAGACTTTTGCTCGTAGGTCAGGTCACGTCACACACTGCGACACCTTGCTCTTTGTAAGGTAAGGTTGGTAGGTACCTACGCAGGTACTTTGGTACGGGCTGACCGCCACACTGAGGACGGAAGAGGGGAGCGCCCGAGCCTCCGCAGGCGGCAGGCAGGCTGTCACCGCAATGCTTAGCGGACCTGGTGTGCTGGGTGCTAAGCAAGGTACGCAGGTACATCAATGCCTTAATTACCTTACTCTGCAGCCTAGAGGGGCAGTCCGCTGAGCCAAGTTTCCTAATAGTGGGTGGTGCATGTGATGTATCGCCCCTCTAAGCCAATTGTTCCCCAAGGTGCCCGCGGTGCCCTCTGTAAACCTTGAACCGACGCGGAGACGCTTTCTCCATCGTCCTACAACTCGGATCGCCTCCTTTCTCCATTATCTCCATTCCCAATCCCCCCTACGAATACCTGACTTTCTCACCCTCCCACGAATAAGCCCGTTCGCTGTTCTCGAACTTGACGTCCTCGATTACCTGCGAATTGCCTACGAATAGAAGACAACTAGACCTCACGACTAGACCTTTCCGCTACCCCTCTCGCCCCTCAAACTCCGCCGTAAGTCGAAGCCGGATCTCCCCTCTCATCGCCTAGACCGCCTTCCACGGCGACATCTTTGATTGACGACTAACACCACAACTCCAGAAAATGAAGTTGCACTACATCGGAGTACGTCTCTCTCCCATCGCTGCTACCTGGCACGTCGAGCGATCCTGAAAACACCTGCCCGCGACCCAGTAATTCAATCAAATCGCAACTAACGCCTGCGTCGCAATAGATCCTCCGCAATGACAGCAAGCCCGCCGTCGAGCTCTGCAGCGAGATGGAGCTGTCCGCATACTCCCGGTTCACTAGAAGTAAGCCATCCACGATTTGCGCACACGGGGGAACTGGTCGCCCCAGCTGCGTGCCCGACGACTTGGGCCTCGAGCCTATCGTGCCCTCTCATGCTCGAACCTGAGCTGATGATCCTTGAAACACAGACAGCTACGCCGAGTTCATGAGCCTATTCTCTAAGAAGGTGGCCGAGTCGACGCGTCCCGGCCAGAGGCAAGATATCGAGGAGGGCGACAACACATTCCACTGTGTGGGAAGAAGCGAGGGTATCTGTGGCGTGTAAGTGGGCAACTCTTCCAAGATGCCTTCTTGAAGGAGCCGCACGCACACCAAGGGGCGGTGCTGACATTCCACTGCGTAGTATCATTTCCGATCACCAATACCCGAGTCTCGTCGCTCACCAGCTTCTCTCCAAGATGTACGTTCACCATCCAGCCCCTGGGCCTGCCAAGCCCCCGCTCCCCTATTAAGTTTCCCCCAAGGCCATGCTAACAAAGGGACTGAATTCACATAACAGCGTCGACGAGTTCCTCACCAAGCACCCGCGCTCCACATGGGCGACGGGCGAACCCAAGCTCGTCCTCCCCGAGCTCAAGGAGTACCTTACGCGGTACCAAGACCCGCAACAGGCCGACTCGATCCTCAAGATCCAAAAGGAGCTCGACGAGACCAAGATCGTGCTGCACAAGACCATTCAGAGCGTTCTGGAGCGCGGAGAAAAGATTGACGACTTGGTGGCCAAGAGCGACGGCCTGAGCTCCCAGAGCAAGATGTTTTATCAGCAGGCGAAGAAGCAAAACTCGTGCTGCATCGTCATGTAAAAAACAAAGAAGCCACAACCCCTTTTCTTTTTCAAATCGCCCGCCTCGTGCTTCCCTCACCTGAGTTAATCGTCTTTTGAACCGTCTGGCGTTGGATCCCCTTGGAACTCTGTCTCAGCATAAACGCTCGCTCCGTGTTCAACGCTCGCTAGGTTTCGCAAGCAAGAACGACTGTCTTTCTTTGCTTTCTTTTGCAACAACATCGGGGAGAGGGGGGGGGGGGGTGCTTCTTGCACTACCTACACTCCCAGCAGGATGATGGGAAGGTAGATTAGCAAGGCCCAGTGTTCATATTTTCCCCCTCAGATCGGGGCCGCCAAACTTGCTTTTGGTAGCGAGACAAATCGACGGCAAGAGTTTTAGGATAAATACAAATCTTTTACCCCCGTTGCAGAAAATGTCGTTGTACGGAGAACTGCGTGCAGAAGAAGAAGAAGAAGGAAACAAAGGGGGCGGCAGTGAGCCGAGACATTCTTTGCTTGATTCCTTGATGGTGTGAGACAAAGGAATGCTAGGCACCCAGTCACTTGTTCCTAACGACTATTCTACTGTTGTTCACCAGATGGCGGTCTCCTGGGTTGCGGAAACTTCGATTTCGACAAGCAAGGCCTATTGAACGTCGTTGATAATCTTGAGCACGGGGTGTGCAATCTTCGAGTTCTCGCGGAGAAGTAGTGTGTTATCGATTCTTGTTCAACATGTACCTACATACCATCGTGTCCTTCTGATCCCCTGGGTTAAAGACGTATACACCGAGGTCTCTCTAGCCAGCATGTGTAGTGATTATCTTCGCTTCCTCCATTGCAAGGGTTACAGCTCTACCCCGAGGATTTCTAAAAGTTTTAAAAAAGACCACGTAGAGTCCACGCGGCTGAATCTGCTACACAGCCGCGGGGCTGACTGAGACCCAAGGCTCGTCGCTGAACCTCGAGACCTCGAGTGCGCCTGGAAACCTACGTGCCAAGTTTCATTTCTCAATCACGAACATGACCAAGGCGCAAATTAAAGTCCAGGGTGCTCAAAGGCGATGACTCAAAAAAGTTGAACCCGGAAACGGCATTTATTTTTAAGCTTTAGGGATTATCCAAGAAAAAAAAGGAAGACTCTCCAAAAAAGCTTTCTTCATAATGGTGAATCAAAGGGTAACAGGTTTGAAAAATGCCCTGGCCCTCGCCCGCCGTCCCTCTCCCTTCCTACACCAGATAATAATAAAAAATCTCTCCCCCAACAGTGGTATCGATTGCGCGCAAAAGAAACGAACCTTCGAGGTCGTATTACAGGAAGATCAGATACTCCATCGAGAATCCTTTTCTGTGTTTTGCTTCTCGGGAAACTCGCTTGCAAGTGACAAAAAAGACCGTTCGAACTTTGCTTTTCTGACAAGGCCCACCACACACGCATACAACCCCCCATACAAGACAATGAACTCGTCAAACCTGTAACCAGAGTGAAGTAAGCCCCCTTTCACTAGGCGTATGAAATCCCGCTACAAACATAGTCCAAAATGGTCCTCCAGAATAATAAGGGGAAAAGTGTCGACAAAAAGGTGGAGTAAAGGAACAAAATCGGTGGGTGAGAAGGTGTTTGAGTAACAAAAGTGGTTTGGTAGAAGTCTGATGGCGAGTCCGAGCACCATCAGTGTATGTGGACGAAGGAAATTAGAAGAATAATGTCCGAAAGGGTGATATGGTGATGAGTCTGGGCTCCATGGAATTTCGTATGAGTTTACGCCAAGTCATCCTCGACGATGATCCGCGAGCTCTTGCGGTTCTGTGCGATTTGCTGCTCAAATGTCTCGCCGTGGCTGATGAGTGTCGGCGTGGAGCTCTTCGTCGTGGATAGCCGCTCATTCTTACCCACAGTGATAGTCGTCACCGGGCTTCTAACATTGGGGCTGCCGCCGGTGCGAACAGCATTTGTCTTCAAGGGACGCAACATTCGGCGCTGCTGCCGAGAGATGCTGATCTGCCGGGCAATCGAAATTTCCACCGCAGCGCGGAGCGCGTCATCCGGCTCAGACTCGTCAAGGGACGGCTTTGTGACGTGCGTATGGACTGAGGATACCGATGCTGGAGAGCGGTCTTTGGCGCTTGGCGCGGCGCTCGACGGAGCTGTGGACTCGCCTGGTGTCGAGATCATCTGCCATGCGGGTTCGTAGATGGTCGGCTTCAGTTGCTCTGTCAAGTGGATCTCCTCGGATTCGTTGTCGTCTGTTGGAGAGTCGAGCATAAGGCCAGACTGCTCGGGTCCGAAGACGAAGTCGTGTGCCGCGGAGGGCTCCATGGGATGAGCCCGGTTGCTCGTCTCAGGCGATGGGGTCTTTCGCTTGATGGATTCTGGGCTCCTTTCCTCTGCGGCTGGCTCGAAGCTTGCTCTCTGTGGGGACGACAAGAAAGCGGGTGAAGTATTTGAGCGGAATCGGGGTGACTGAGGCGGGTTGTTGGCCGATTCCGAGGGCGTGGCCGGGAATAGTGAGAGCGAAAACGCCGGCGATTTGAGCGGCTGCGGTGATGTTGCCCTCCGACCCCTCATACGTTCCCTCTCCTCCTCTTCCCTCGTGACCTGGTCGTTGATCGTTTTCAACCTGTCCAGAGTAGCTTGCCGCCTTGCCAGAAGCGAAGATGAAGGCTGTAAACCTTGCGGTCCCGATGTCGAGTCTTGTGATCCATGTGGTTGTTGTCCCAGGACGTTACCAAACATTACACTGTACCTCTCCATCGTGATGCTGGGAATCTCCACGTCCAAGAACCCGCCCGATGGCTTAGGCGGCAAAGCCGGTACCCCCATAGACACGTGAACCGGCGCAGATATGTCCGACTTCTTGACACTCTTAGTCGATCGTGTGGACGCCATTCTGCTTAGTAGTTTAGGGGGCTTTGAATCTTTCGGGCTCGGCGGGGCCACCGGGCCAGCCGTTTGTGAGCGCTTCATGGCAGGTTTGCTATCCGCTGTCCTCTTCTCCGTGTTCCGTCTTCCCAAGTCAGTGGCCTGGTTCGTCGTCGGTGAAATGTCGAAGTCCGTCCTCGTCGGTGCCGGATGCTGAAGATTCATGGGTTGTGAGATGGCCACTGGGGATGAAGCAAGCCGCTTGCTTTTTGAACGGCCAAATAGTTTCCACCTTCCTGATTTCTGCTTCGGTGCCGGCACGGGTTCTGGTATCTCCTGTTGCGGTTCTGGTGTTGGCGAGGCCCTCATCATGGTCGTGCTGAGGCTGGATGCCTGCGGTTGCCACTCGTCTCTCGGGGCGGGCATCGGCGATGGAAGGAATTCGCGCGACGCTGTGAAGTCCGGAGGTGGATGTGTCGGGCTCCCTATGGCCATGCCTATTGCTATCGTTCCCATGTTGCTATCCATCGAATCTGGCGTCTGGGTCCTGACTGTAAAGGTGCGCGCCGGCGAGAAGTCGTGTGAGAAGTCGCCAGGACTCTCTACCGGAGATGCTGGGTTGTCCCGTATCGGGATGTGATACGACTTGTAACCACCACGTGCTGAAGACTGAGGCCTGATGTACAGGTCATCCTTGGACATACGTCTATCAGCAAAGGATCTGAAGCTGGTGGTGCTGTAGTTATGAGGTGAAAGACCTCCGCTAGTGCTGGGCCGCTCAGCCATGGTCGAAGACGCCTTGGATGGAGGAGGTGTAGGCAGTGGGCGATGGCGGTATGTGTTGCGAGTTTCAACGGCAACGGCAGCAACGGCGGCAGCGTCGGCGGCAGCGTCCTTTGCAAAGAAGGGCACGCCCTCGTTTTGAGAAGCGCTCGAGTCTTCCTTGGTCTGTTGGAAACTTGACACAAGACCCGGCGACCCCAGGACGGGGGACTCTGGGCCGTGCGTCTGCACACCACCGGGGGCCCCTCCACCAGTCCTCATGCTCTTCATAGATCTGGAACGGTTAACCAATTTGAACATGCTCCTCTAATGGCCCGGAACAGGACTTTGCAATGCTAGCGCTTGGCGGATCCTTGTTGACAGGGCTATAAGAGCAAGAACCAGGCGGGATGCCCAGAACGTGGAGCGGGGTGATCGGTTTCGAAAAAGGAGATGATGGGAAGCGGTCGCAGGAACTAGTAGAATCGGTGGACTAGAAGGCCGTCTTGCAAGTTGCGCCAAATGTGGAGGCAAAAGAAGAGAAAATGAGAAATATGGCTGCTAGCAGAAAGGCAGTTGCTGGAAAGAAAGACCAAAGACCCGATGACAGAGAACCCCCCGAAGCCCATATGCAGAGAACAGGAGAGGACCCAGACCGCAGACGGAGGGGACACTCTGACTTAACTCTACTTTGATATCATCCCCTCTGATTTCGCCTCTGCAGGGTCGACCCAGAGCCCAGAAGCCCTCGTTCTTGGTCCCCAGCACGCGACTCGCAACTTTGTCGCCTGTTTGAGATTGATAGGACGGATATTTTAGGGGGGGCTGATCAACACAAGGATGACGAACTTCGACATCCTGTCCTTGGGCCAGTCTGTGGATCGAGGGTCCCGGTCGTTTGTGAACGATAAGTCGCGTATCTTCTGCGGTCGAGTGGAGGTCTTGCGGTTTCGTGTGTCAGACTAGCGAGAACTGTAGGGAAGCACAGCGGCGAAGCATGATTAACGGAGTCGTCATCTGCATGGCGACCGAGAGGTCTAGAGACTCTGGACAGTCTGATATTTGTGTTGACACTGCCGTGCGGCGTGGCGGTCAAGGCTGGTTGAGGGGGCTGAGAGTCGAGAGCTGAGTGAGAAGCCTCGGATGACTCCATCGTCAAGCCGCGGCAGCTTCCGGTATTATCGTTCTGGAGCTTCACGACGGAAAGCTCATAAGAAGCAATTTGACTTCAAATTGACTACGCCCACATGCCTTGTTGTGCCCCCCGTCGTATCGTGCCGTACCTTGCCGCTAGAGAGAGCTAAAGAGGGGAGGGATTCGAGAAGGATGAGAGAAGAGGGAGGGTCGCATCCGTGCTTGGTCTGCGGGACATCCTGGAAAGGTTGGGTTACCCCAGCCCGGGGGCAACAAGC